ATCTGGCTGTGGCAGCTTGGAAAAATCGAATGTCAGTACATCTAATAGCAAATCGGCACATTCGACAGTGTAACGTCGACATCTTACACCAAGTAGATAACACTGTTTCCCAATGTGGGAATGCCCGATATTGCTTCAGCGTAGCCATATGTTGGCGCTTATTATACATACCGATACAAGTCTTACCAGGAATGTCTTGCCCTATTTGCATATCCAGAAAGTGTGCTGATTCCCCACACTGTTATTGGGTAACGCGAACGGGGTTGTCTATCTCATCACCATTCGAATCTAACACCATCGTTGGGTACATACCACCATATTGATTACCCTCCTTATATATAATATCTTCAAATGTTGGTCCAGTCTGGTTACCATATCGCACCGTAAAAATGTCATCTATATACCGTTTTGTACCAATGCTGTATTGCTCAATAAATTCAAATGGATACAACGATGTAGTCCCAGCGTGTGTAGCAGTTAAATACTCATCCACCATTTCCTTCAAAAAATCGAATTCATGCATAAACGCAAAAATATTCGCTAGTTCGGGAGCTGGTGCCGTTCCCATAAAGATACCAGAGGCTTGTTGGTACATGCCGTTCCCAAAATGTACAAATCCTTCGTCCAAAATAAAATCTATCCATTTACAGACCCGTTCCCATCCAATGTAATTCGCTCGACCTCTGCTAGATGTTACGTTGCTCGGGTTTTCCTTCGACCACTCGATGTCTCTAACAAATGGTGTCTTATTATCAGGCCCAATACCCCATCTCAACTTCATCGACTTAAACCCATGTCTCTCAGCTTGGTGTTCAAACGACAATTTCAAAGCTTCCCTCAATTTTTCCTTCAATGGTACTACAGGGATATTAGGGTACATACCAACGAAGTCAAATGTTTGGAAGACATGCGCATCAGTACATCCCTCCATTTGTGCTCGAATATCGATATCCTGTGCTACTTCTAGAAGACTTTCCCCGCTAGAGGTAATCCAACATTCCTTGGCAGCAATACCAACTTTTGCGCATTCTTCACGCCAGATCGTGTGTAAA